CAGCTTCTTTAAAATTGCAATTAAAATCTTATTTTAGAAACTTAATTCATTCACACAATTTCTCTTTTATTCATTTCCGAACTATCGAATCGCTGTAGTTTTCTTTGCCCATTTGTCAATTCCCATCATTCAACTTCCAAACAATAATTTAACAATTCTCCAGGCTGCTGACAGAAATCAAACTTTCGATTTATTTTACAATTCAAATTATTAACATTTTGACATCAGTGATGAGAAGATCGATCGCATGCAAACCGCTAAAAAAAAAAAAAACGTGACCGAAAGCAAACAACAATCATAGGAATAGGAGTCGTCGCGTACTCCGGCACACACAGGCGAAATCGTCGGTTGCGCGAAACGTCAACAGCCGTTCGCGATCTTTTACGCTCGGCAAAACGAATAATCGCTCACAGCTCACAAGTCGCCCTTGCACACGTGGTACACGTGTACGTATGTTTGCGCGGCACATATGCGCAACACGGGCGGGAAAGACAATGTCGTCGTCGTCGTCGTCGTCGCGTGTCGTGCAGAAGTGCGGAGAAAGGAAACGAAAACACGATGCGACGCGTTCATCGTGCCAACGGGAAGGGCACGACGTTTTATCGGCATCGCCGTATTGCGTGCCAAGCACGGGGCGTACGATGACACGCGTATATATGCCGTATATATACGCGCGCTATCTCAGCCCGACACGGTTTTAAAAATCGTCATCGTTCGCGCGAATAAGAGTCTCTCTCTCTCTCTTGAAAGCTTTACCACTCGAGAAACTCTTTATATACCTCTCGAGAATCCTCGAGAGTTATTACATGTCGGAGTGCATTGTGTCAAGATTAGAAGCCTTGAGGCGTATAGTGGAAAATATTTGCGGATTCGGAAAAACACCTGTTGGAGCGCTTGCGTGGTCGGCCGGCGCGAAAAAGGCCGTCGGGAGGAGCGGAACGTCGAGCTATTGAGGGCTCGACGCGACGGTGGACTATGGATGCGAAAATCATATTGCTTTAACAACAAAGTCCAACCGTGATGCGAAATTGATCGCGGTAAAGAAACTGACTGACCGGGCGGCGACAATTGATTCAACACTTGTTACTCGACGCTCACGCGCGAGTATAAATCGAGCAAATGCAATTGGAAGCGCCCACGTCGTTCGCAAAGTGAGACTGGATGAAGAAAGGAGGGTACGCGACAGCTGGCGACGCGTGGGCCCTTGCCCCCGACCTAGCCCAACCCGATCCGAAATATTCTATAGGGGGTTCGACGTCTTTTCACGTGGGTATTTATATAAGACGAAAGTGCGCGCGCGGCGGAAAAGGTGCTGCCCGAGGAGCAGCTGCCAGTCGGTGGCCATATTGTGAAAGCGTAACAGTTGTCCAAAAAGACGGATGCCTGCCTCTCTGCTCTGCTTTGCTCTCCGGCTCTCTGCCCTACCCCTGCCCTAATTGGCCATTGTCGGATCGTCCCGGCGAGGTCGCATTCACCGCCGGTGGATGGAGACTCCGAGACGGGATTGTGTGTTATATATACGATCCGCGGGAGCTGGACACGCGAATCTTATACGGAAGCTAAAAGTCAGGTCAAAAGGACTGCCTGAGGAAAATGCATCACTCCGCGCCGCCTTGACATTCATTGATGATGTTAGTCGCGGTAGGGTACGCGATACCACCGTTAATCATAATTAATCACAAACGGCGGATGTATACACGAAGCGGTTTCAATTATCGTGACACGTGCTGTATATGGGGGGGAGGGGAAGAATTTTTCGCACTTGATTAATGGCAATTGCGTGGAGACAAGCGTATAAGGTTCGTGAACGCTCTGGGATTCCTCGCGGACGCACCATTGGCTGTCGCCGCGCGCGACCGCAAAATCGCCCCGTGATTGTGAACGCAGCTTTACGCACGTCCGCGATTCTGCGAAAAAACTTCGGCGGAGTAACAGGTGGACCTACCGGTGAATTCCGGGCGAGAACCGGGACTCTTTCCTTCGCGAATCGAATTCACGTTTCGAATGAGGAACGCGATGGCACGTAAAAATAAATTCTGCGTATTGGACCTGCATTCGTAATTACGGTTATAACATATTCCGCTCGTGTTCAAATTAAACGTATTGCTGAGTGTACAAACTAAATTATAACTTCGTAACAATTGCACGATAACTTTAAAACTCGAATTTTTAATTAATAAAATAAACAAAGAAATGATTTGCGCGTAACAGGAAAATCCGATTGTAAATTAACTTTTAAACAAATTAGGAAAGACATGATATTAATGTAAATTTTAAATTGGAAAAATTGGAAAAATATTAGAATTTCGAATTAAATTTCGGACGCAATCTGAGAAATCTATAAAGAAACTTGAAACTAAATTCCAAATACATAAATTAGAAGGATTGTAATTTCGAATTATATTTTCAATGGAAGAAAAGAAATTTGATTTCAGCACCTCTTTAAGTATTTATATGTTTAACTCTCCTTTCCTCACACAATATACAACTGGCTGATCTTATTAAATTAATAGATGATATTAATAAGTTCGCTACTCGTACATTCTGGATATTTTCTCTCCTCGGCACACACATCGATCCTTATCTATATTACATTGCGTACGACAAGCGTGATTGACAAGATTTTACAAATAACTTCTACACTGACCTACGATTACAGCTAAGACACGTTTACATTTTGCCGATATGTGCTATCAGCTTGCTGATTGCTTGAGCGAGATAATGTCCTAAGCTCTCTGCAATAGATGAAACATTGAAGTCGGGACAATTTGATACATTATCCGCTTCGTTTCTACGATTGACGTTATCTGATGATGGCATACTAAACATGCAGGACTAAATAAAACTTTTGGGAGAAAGAGAAAGAGGAGGAAGGAAGAGAAAAAGAGAGAGATGAATATGAAAAATTATTCTATTAAAGTAAGATGATTATCAATTAATCGGAATCTATTCAAGCGGTACATTGGTAATTAAATATGGAAATTAGTAAAATATCTCTATATAGTTTAAATTTTAATTTTTATTACATAACTGTTTCCACGACTGATTGGCTATAGCTGTATATCGTTTATTCAATTTTTTTTTCAAAATTTTTTTTAGGAAAATAAAATAATTTTTAAGAATATTCTGATTATTACTATCAATATAAACACTTAATTCGAGCAATTTATTATTTTAATTTATTTGGAAAGTCCAGGTTTCTGATTATTATTATCGATATAAAAATAAAAATTAAAATTAAAACTTAAAATTCAAACAATCTATTTTTCTTAAATTTAGTTAAAATGTTCTTTTTAGGAAAAAAAAAGATCTTTACATATGGAAAGTAGAACACGAGAATGCTTTAATTATTACGAAATTCTTAAACAACATATTAACATAAAATTCGCACGTGCTCGCGAATGGTAAAAAGCTCAAGCTACCTGCAATATCATTGCACGTGCGTCAGCCATCTAATTAATTATTCAATTACAAGAACAATAGCGCGCGGCATTAGCCGGTTCACAGCCTCTGCTTATACATATCAAGGCCATTTTTCCAATCCGGTCTACTCCGAGACAATTCGATACGGGAGTATCGCCGAAAGTGGAACGGAATTTTATTTAACGTTCCCCCGTGAACGTCGTTTCATTCGGATAACGTCGAACGAATTACATGTGCCGCGTTAAAGCCTCGAGTAGAAAGTGCTTACTAATTAGTAAGGGAAAACTCAAATATTAGCCGTTCGACGAGGTAGCCGTAAACGCAAGGTCGATTGAGCTGGTTAACTCCTCGTTATCTCTTACTCATCGAATTTTTAATCAATCCATTTTCGAACAGTATTTCGTAATATCACGGATTGTAGCACCTGTGCGTATCGCGTAAAATTTATCATAATGTTCGTAAAGAGAGAATTCGATAGTTCTAAATTTATTACATTCGCTACTAAAATTTAAATCCAATTTTGCACAAAAAATTATAATTAATTAATAATAATTTGTGTGTATGTGTGTATGTATGTGTGTGTGTGTGTGTGTGTGAGTGTGTGTGTGTGTGTGTGTAGATATTGTATATTGATGTATATTGAGCAAAACAATGTGTAGCTGACGATACGAGCTGTATCTTAATTCTATCACCGTAAGTATCACCGAAAGTAGGCCAGAACTTTATCAGTCGCGGTGAGGAAGCAGAATTTCATAAGTTCAGAACATTTTCAAGACTTTACGATCGTCGCCTTGAGACTTATTTGCACGACAACCGAGTGGAAAATGCTAATGAATTCAACGAATTAAATTAACACTTATTACATGCCAGGGATACCACTTGATTAATGCCCGTTTCTTTTCGTATTAAACGTAATGCGACAAGTGGCATTACAACGGATTGCCGGATGTCAAATAACACTGACGCGGAGCTGGCCGTATGGCGCATTTCAATAAAACGTTAACCGTAATTAACCGTTCGCAGATACGATAGAGAGAAATTGCATTTATACATATACCACACACCGTCACAAATAATGTTTATCCTTCAAAACTTACACGACACGCAAACTAGTAATCGATTCAGCTTTAAATATTCATCGATATCCCGTTTTAAATATTTATTTTAAACGCAAAGTGGAATGTCATTCTTCTGAAAGAATGATAAGGATTTCAAATTACGTTTGCAATATAATATACAACTTTTCGCATTGCGTGTCGCGCAATAATAATAATTAGACATTTAATTTAGTCGCAAATATAATAATAATAATAAGATATTTAATGTAATTATAAAAGTGTCATGCTCACGCGACATTAGTTATACATATATTTCGAACCTATGCTTATTTGTCTAAACAGACATTCGCACACGGAAAGAACAATTTTGCTGGATATAAATCTAAAAATAATTTTGTTGAAAATTCAAATTGGTTACTGAAATTATTTTGATGATCCAGCAAGGTCTCAGATCTGTATCCAGTAAAATTTTTAGGCCTTCCAACGAAATCGTTCTTTCCGCTCAAATCTGCATCTTACCTTATGACTTTCCGCCTGTCGTTGGGATGCAATTTGCACGCCATCTCCGGATCGACCTCCATCAGTTTTCGGTGTAGCTCCTCGTTACCTTCGTCGCATAATCTCGCGTCGAATTTCAACTTCTTCGGCGCCGTCTCGTCATCGTCATCGTCGCCGTCGTTCAGCCGATCGACTTGTACGTTATATCGTTCGTCCGATCTGTTCTCGATCGACGCGCTCGGATTGGTCGCGCCTGAATCGACTTGCGCCGACGGTTCTTTCGGATCAGTTATAAGGATCTTCCATAGCAGTGACTCTATGTAATAGTTCGTACCACCGACGACGATCGGCAGTTTCCTCCTGGCCAGCAGGTTGTCCATCTACATCGGGTAGGAGAGGGAACAGAGTCGGAGTTAAGCGCACGACGAGAGAGAGAGAGAGAGAGAGAGAGAGAGAGAGAAGGAACGAGCGATTCGCGCGGGAGACCGTGGCTAATGATCGTATCAAGGTCTTCGCGAGGATCAGGGGCGTTCCGATTGGCTTCGTCCAAGATCTTTATTTTACGAAGTCGATTTCGCGAGCCGAGCTGCGAACCCCGGTCTCGCGAGTGCAGGTTTCACCGCTCACGCGAGTTATCCAAGTCGGTGTAATTATAAAACCTTAGCGCTCAGCAATAAGCCCGTCTCGTGCCGGCGCAGGAGAAACGGAAGAAAAAAAGATATCACTTTCGACATCTGCGATTCATTAAGCATTCTTTGTACGTTTCTTGTTTCGTTAACGCGAGGCGCGAGAAGGATGACTTGCCTACCTGATGATTTTATCTATATACACACGATAACCTCGGATCACGCGGATTCTTTTAACGGTCTCTTAATTTTCAGAGAGATATTATAATTAACTTGTTATGAAGCAATCAGCTGCTTGGATCAGATTAAGATACACGCGGTGTAAAACTAAATTGTTAGATACTATTTGCATGTAATTTGTACTACGGTAATTATTACTATCGCAAATTATGAAATTTTCCTGGTTTGTTGAAAAGATGTAATTCGCGAGCTCTCAAGATCATCCTTAATGCCGGCGTAATTATGGCTGTCGCGTTAAACGTCGGCCATCTCCCAGCTATAGCGCGGAAAAAGAGAACGAGACGTGACGATTACGATCGGTAGGGCCGTGTCCCTGAAGTCGATTACGGAGAAGTTGGTCAGCGGGTCCACGATGTCCAGTATGTGATGCGGCGCCGCCTTTCTTTCCGCCGGGGTCACCTTCGCGGTAACGATGTCCAGGCCTTTGTACACCTGCGGGGCCGAGAGAGAATCGTCCGTAATTAAAAGTGAAATAACGAGGGACCGGCGCGACGGGACCGGCCGCGAAAGAAATAAGTAACGGCTGATAAATAATGAATGAATAGAAATAAATGCGATATCGAATGATTCCGTTAATTGCACCGCTTGTGTGGCTCGCGGCCGGAACATAAACGCGACGGATAAAGCCTGTGGCATATAAAAATACGTAAGACGTAAGCAGTAAAGCCCAAGACACACAGAAAACCCTGAAGCCTGTTTTGTGATTGTTGTTGTAAGAATTGACCAATCACCGTCGAATATTCTTCTCATATTCGACTGTGATTGGTCAATTCTTACAGCTACGCTTACATGTAGATTATTGTAAAACACGTTACGTTCTATCAATTATCACAATATTTTAAGAAAACTGTTTGGTTCATGGCGGAATAGATATACTTATAATCAATCAAATAAAATAAGATTGTTAAATTAATAGAATTACATCTATATAAGATCTTGGAATATATAAAATAAAGTTTATACATTCAATATATATAGCACATATGTAAAACAAATTCTTGTTGGACTGAGTCGCTGTAAGTTTTTAGGTCATTGTTTAATAATTGTAGTTTTATGTAGAATGTTTAGTGATTGCTTTTTAATCTTTTTAAGACAATGGATGACGAGGAAGAAAATTTAACATAATGCAGTATTTATATTTAATTCTGCGTATATATTTATTAAAAGAACAGCTATCGTTAATCGGTAATATTAGATACAACCCATTAATATGAGACGTCTTAACCAAAGAGATATTCATCATTTATTGCAAAAAAATGAAAAAAGATCTATATATTTATATACGTTTTTTTAATAAGTACATAAAAAAATGTTCAAATGCGTTTTTAATGAACTATTAAAAATAATTAGAAACCATACTTAAAAAAATTCGAGTTTTATTATCTAAACAATGTCATGCTTCAGCTCTAAAGTATATCTAAAGTATATAATAATTTTATTATGTGTAACATAAACGCATAAAATGCAATACATATTAATTATATTGTTCTGTTTTATTACACTAGATATCTTGCTGGTGATTAAATATTATTGATTGCATTAGTCCACTGAAAGGGAAAGTCGACAGCCCGTGTTGTTGTAATTAAAGAAACTTGTGTTTTACTCAAATGCTAGCACCGATATATTTTCAAGTTCCTAATGAAGGAGAATGAAAAAAAGACATATTTTGGAAAGAATGAAACTTTTCAAATCGTTGCGGTGCAGTAGTTGCAGCGATACAAATTCAAACGCTTATACACGGAAGGAACGATTTTGTTGAAAGGTACGTCTAAAAATTTTGCTGAATACAGATCTGAAAATAATTTTTTGTTGCATCATCAAAATAATTTGTCGGAATGTTAAAACTAATAAGCATTGCTATAAAACGTTTTGATAATTCTAACAATCATTTTGACATTAAAATTATTTTGATTATTGAAAAATTATTTTCAGATCTGGATCCAGCAAAATTGTTCCTTCTGTGTACAAAACTCGGGAAGTTTATATATATTATAATTACAAAAAACATTTAGCATAGTGCTAACAGCAGCATGCAATTACAAATATAAATTTAAATGATTGTTAAATAGCTATAGTAGCAATAATGTAATAATCTAAAAACTAGCGTATTATCAAAATCAGCATTCGCTAATGATATACTCAATGATAATTTGAATCTACTATGAAAAGAAGTCAATTTGTTCGGAAGCACGAACATACACAAACTTTACTACCATGCTTTTTTTAGACGAAGCCTTTCAATCATTAAGAAAAATGATGAGGTCAACACTTAGAACCAAAAAAAAATTTTAATTACCGCTTATCACAAGCTGGAAAAGTAATCAAAAATATATTTGGAATTCTTGTGTCACGATAGCGCGATTTAGAAAACCCATCTGTATGGAAAGACGATAAATAAAACAGTAATAGCAACAGAATGTTTACACAACTACTTAAAAACAATTAACGACGTAAGATCAGAGAATAATAAATTGGTAGTTGGATGATAAAACACTCGCTCGGAAAGAAGTTCAAGTTCAAATTCTGACTGAGATAATATTTTTCGCAATAAGTTGTTTTACAGGATTTAAAAAGATGTTCATTAAAATCGAATTATTAAATTATCCGTCAATATAATTGTGATATTACGTATTCAGTTAAAGCTATGTTTCGAGATCGACAATATTCGGGGCGCAGTTTGCATCTAAACGAGAGATGTTACTACAAATTATTTTTTAACTGTTGCTGATGCGATCCCATGGTCAATTTCTTATATATTAATAGAGGTTTAGAGATCAAAATCTGTAATGAAATAAAAAATTAATAATTACTTTTTATTTGTAGTCGATTTATTATAATGAATTCTTATTACAAAATACAAATTAAAATAATATTAATAATATATTAATCTATATTGAATATTTTTTATTCAATGCAGATTTTGATCTCTAAACCTCTATTAATATATTATATAATCAATTGGCCATGCGATCGCATCAGCAGCAGTTAAAAAATAATCTGTAGTAATTATAAACATAAATGTGTGTGTACTATTATATCTTTTTAAACATTTCCCCGTTTAATTAATTTTCGCAATCTGCCTTTGCACACTTCACACATAAAATGAAGTTATAGTAAAAATAATCTGAGTGTTGTAATGTTTATTATAAAAATCTTGTCTCTTGAATACGTTTCAAAAAATACATGAAAATTAATATAAGAACCATGTATATATATGATAATTAATTAGGCAAATTATTTTAGCAAACTTTTGCTAGAATGTTATATAAAAATTAAATTTAAAAATATAAAGGCGTATGCAAAATTGGGAAAATTTTGTGATACAAATCTGAATCTTGACACAGACATAATATAAGATAATATATGAAAAAAAAATCTATAATAAAATCGAATGACCAAATGAGTAGATCCTGGTCAAAAATCAGAAAATGAGTCCGAGTCATGTGGTGATAGTGCCCATTTGCCACTCATACAATCTCATTTTGGCAATAGAAAATGTTGATCGTAAATGACAGTACCCATTAAATAACCGTTCGAAATTGGCAGGCTTTATCACCATCGGTTGATCCCACTCGTTTCATTCGGTTTTCTGTAGTACCAGGACCCATTCAATTTTGATTAGATTTCTTCATATGTTTTTACTTCCTACTATGTGTCAAATTCTATGACGATTTGATTTTGTATTCGTACGTTTAATTTGAACTGTGACAACCATCAGTCGTAACTAACTTTATTAATATTACTTTTTAACCATGATATATTTTGTTGTATTTATACACTTTTGTAAGTGATCACAATTTATATGTGGAGAATTTCTTAACTTCTACGTCTGTGGTTGTACGTTTCAACGGGTTAGACAACGTATTCCAATTTGTAACCTACAGATTTTAATTATCAAAATGTTTTAACGTTTGACGTAATTCAATGTAATTTACTTTTTTCTTTTATTATTTTTTATTCACATATTATTAACATTATATTCGCTAAGAATGGCTACAACATGAGCCGATACGTCTAAATTTCTAAAATATGTAGTTAGTTTGATTAGAGATTTTACAGCGTAATATTTTTATTAATCTGACTGTGAGCACCATTTTCCATAGTCATTGCGCATCAAACTCCCATAGTCATTATTATTAATTATTTGATTGGATTATCACAAAATTTTTGATATTCCTTTCTGAAACAACAAAATTACTGTAATGATTATGGATATAAAATATCTACAATGTTTCGTTTTCGATTTGTTTTTTCAGGTTCGCTAATTTTTTCTAATTCCGCGGCTTCAAGCAGAAAAATTTATATCGGATGTTAAATCATTAAGATTGAAAGTCGATTGTTGAGATGGTTGCTTAGTCATATTCTTTTCAGAATTGTCATAGGCATCTTGAGGAGTTCTGTTCTAAGATATAGGCAAATGTTCTGTTGGTAATATTCTATTATTTGTGTTTTCTATGCTTTCGGAGTGAGTTTTTCTTTTCTTGATTGGTAATGTTTGCACAGAAGGCGATGTAGAATCTCTTAATACTGAAGCACTCGGTGCTGTATCTCTCGATGTTAAGTGAGTTTTTCTTTTCTTGAGTGGTAATGTTTGCACAGTAGGCGACGTAGAATTTCTTAATACCAAAGCTGAATCTTTCGATGTTGAATCCCTTAAAACTGAATCTCTTGAACTTCTTAATGTTGTCTCATTCATGCCGGAAAAACTATCTTTATTACTTTTCTGTGAAGACGATGGTAATGGTCTGCCTGATTTTCTTATATTTCTTTTTTGGACATTCAGATGAATAGGAATAAAATTAGTAATTAATCTACATGATTGTATATTATCAGGAGAAAGATGTAATAAATTCTCATTATTAAATTTAGTATTTTGTACCTTTGAATACTTGGATAAAATTAAGAAAGGTAAACTTGGAAAAGAATTATTTGAATTACTTGGCATTGCTTGATTTGATAAAGAATCATTATTTCTAATTATTTTTAAATTATATTGTCCCTCTTTTAATGAAGGCCTAACAAAATGATAACCATTAATTTTTAAATAGAACAAAGAAATAGGCTCATACGAATAAACAATCGATAAACATAAACAAAGGCGAGCTAGTAAACCATGAATATTATTTAATATTATGTATTACTTATCACATATTTTATATTAATCCAACTAACGTTCTTCGTTTGACATGATTTTGTAAAAATAACAATCGGTTGTATGGGAATTTAGATCTGTGAAGGACTTTGTCATTACTTTTTTTTTCTCACGTCACCATTTCTCTCGTGTAAATCGATGACGAAAGTAAGACCATTTCTCTCGACAAGTTTCAACTACGAGAAATACACATTAATATTGCGGTTTATATAAAAAAAGATCCCAAATTAAAATTTAAATCTTACCTGGCACATCTATTATTCTAGAAATGTCGCGCCAC